GTTGAACTCTTCCGATTGAGAGAAGGAGTATGGTCGAGCGGGACCTTGATAAATAGCGCTTTGCGGGAGGCAACCCGTACTTTAATTTGCTTTCTAGTTTAGTTTATTCTTATTTTTGTGTGTGTGTTTTATTTTATTATTATTTTTATTTTATTTTAGAGAGGTAAGGAGAGTGTAATTTATGCTTGTGGGAGTTTGTTTTTGTGCAGATTTTGAGCTAGAGAAGGCTTCAATCACGCTGGAACTGCACTCGTACTCGATCGGGCAGAGCTCGCCCGATCAGGCGTGCGTACGCGTCCGCAAACTTTGTCAACTTTAACAGGCCATAACTTTTGCGTTTCTTATCCGATTTTTGCATGTGACCTGTCGTTTGAAAGATCTTCATGTATAGTTTTCAATGCAATTTAAATCACTGTATTATCATTTATATATAAAAAGTTATGATCAGAATAGTGAACCTGACTCAAATTTGAACTTTTTCCCACTAACATTTTGTTTCTTTCTTGCCCAATTTTATTCCAAAGAGATGCATTGCAATCCTCGAAACTTTGGTGACATTGATGTGGTGATGATGAAGAGTAGTCACCTTGACTACTAGCTTCCCTTTAAGACAATGAGGACATTGCCTAATTTAGCTTGGGGGGAGGTTCTCGTGTCAGATGGTATATCTTTCACTCTCTCTTTTTATTTTTATTTTTTTATTTTTTTATTTTGGTTTGCTTAGTATAGATTTCATTGCTTTCTTAGGTAAGATTTATTGCTTTCAAAAAATAAAAAAAAAATAAAAAAAATATTCCAATGAATTATTATTCATGCTTCCCTGTGCCCCTTGATGAAAATTTTTCGAAATTGTTTTGATTCTTGGTTATTGATGATAAATATTGAGGATTAGTTGATCATGATTTGATGTTTGATTGCCTTAAAACCTTAACATGCATCAATTTTGTCCAACTACTTGTGAATATAGTGCTTGACTAGTTGATTTGGTTAGGAATGTGTTTTAGTTCCTGGTGTGTCAATGAATTTGAGTATTGGTTTGCAACTATTAGTAATGTTTATATGACTCATTATTATGCACATTGTGGAGGACGAAGGCATTTGTTCTTTTAGGTAGCCTCCAGATGATTGTAGATACATTTGTTCCCTTCTTGCTAACCATGTTGTTGCCTTGACTTTTTGTTGTTTTATTAGCCATATTACAAGCCTATTTTTCCCCATTGGTTACTAGTCCCAAGCTTGGCTTGGGGGAGCTATTAGTGAGTGAGGTAAGGGAGTTTGTAGTGTGCTTATTATTTGCACAACTTGGGTGGGCTTTTGAGAAGTTGTTTTGTTGTTGATCATGTTTATTTTTGATGAGTTTGAGAGTTATATTTTCTTGAAAAAAATAGAGCATGATGTTATGAAAAAAAAAGAGAAGTTCAAAGAAAAAAATTATGTTGAAAAAGTAAGTGAACTTCAAAAGAAAAGAAAAGTATTCAATGTTCAAATGTTCCAGTTGGAGGTTGATAAGAAGAAAAATAATAGAGCTTCAATGAAAAATTCAAGTTTGGAAATAAAGTTTGTTTATTCACTCCACTTCTTCATTATTATATCTTATGAGTGATATGTAAGAGTTGGGATTGTTTATTATGATTGGAGTATATTTGGTTGATGTTAGAGTTGGTTATGTAGGAGATGTGGATCATTATTTATTTTGATCATGGGTTTTGATAGGATTTGGCTCCCTTAAGCATAGCTTTTCTCTCACTTGTTCCCAAATGATTCCTACCCTTAACCCTAGCCTTACATTACAAGCTTTAAAGACCTTCCGACCTTTGTGTATAGAATTGTATGAATGTGAAAGTGTTGCTTATCAATGCAAGTTATGATTTGACATATTTCGAGTCGACTAGTAGGTTGAGTGTTCATTGTTTAATACACACGAGAGTGTGAGTTGGGAGGGCATTGTTCACATAAAGGGGTTGGATGGAGAGCGATCGAGTATATCTTTTACTCGCCACAAAAATGAGAGTTGAGTGCGTGAGCACTAGTCTTGAATTCTATATGCTCTTGTGGTTTGCTCTGTTTGACAATTGTTAGGGAAGATTGGTAATTAGATGGATTTGATTGGTTGATTTTGAAGCATGTTTATTTGGTTTACCCTGGATCGTTTGTGCTTGGTTTTTAATTTTTGGGGTGAAGCATATTTATTGATTCATTGATGAGATCTTTGCTTAGGGACAAGCAAAGGTTTGGCTCGGGGGAGTTTGATGTGTTTGTTTTATATAGTATTTTACCCCCGTCCCTTGGTCATAATTGGTAGTGTTTTTGGCTCTTTAGAGCCACTTTTATTACTAATTGGTGTTTTCTAGTGTTTTCGTAGATTTGGTTGACTTTTGCAGGGATTTACACTTTTGGAGTATTTTCCCGAGATATTTTGGAGCAATCACGAGCATTGGAGAAGCACGACCAGATTTTATAGCCCAGGGCCGGTTAGAGCCATCGAACCGGTGATTAAGGGCTCGGTATAGGTGATACTGGGGCATTTGGACCAAGTATTCAACACCGGAAGAGGAAACCCAGATTGGCCCGAAGAATTAGGGCCCAATCGTAGTCCAAATAATGGCCCAAGAGAGCCGCCCGGCCAAAGAGGCTGGCGCCCAGTGACGCGCCCAGCCGGGCGGGAGAAGCTAAGGCTGGCGCCCGGTGACGCGCCCGGCCGGGCGCGAGATTAGTATTGAGGAAGCAAAAAGGCGCGCCCGATTGGGCGCGTGTATTTATTAGGAGACGATTAGCGTCGCTTTAGTTTGTTTTAGTTTAGGATTTGTACGGAGTATAAATACTCCTCCGTAATACGATTTTAACTCTCTTCTTCTCCTCTCTCTCTCTTCTCTCTCCCTCTCTCTTTTTACTCTTTCTTTACTCTCTTAATTGTTCTCTTAGATTTGCTTTCTCTAAAACCTTTGTTCTTAATCTACTCTTAATTCCAGATTTATTTTGGTAACGATTTCTCTTCTCTTAATCTTAGTTGTTTATTTTATTCCTTTAATCATGTCTTACTTTATTGCTTTGATTTGTTTAGTTCCTATTATGTGTGAGTATTTTTCTTTCTAGGGTTTATGGGGATCCATAAATAATATGAAGGGGTAATTTATTGTTGTTAATTATAAATGCTAGATTAATCTCCTATTGATTGATTTAATGTTATGTGACTAGATTAGGCCTGATCTTTTATGCATGAGTTTGACAATGTTGATTCGAGATTCGACAGATGAGAGTTGATGTTTAGGTCTAGTTTCAATAGGCAGGTTAATTTATAAAAGGTTAAGTCGAGATTCGAGAGATGAGACTTAATACCGGTAGATTAATTCTGTGATTGTAATACGTAGCGAAAGCCCTTTACGATCTGGTTAATTGATGCATTGATGATTGACTATTATTAGTTTTTGATATTGCATGATAATTTCTTATTGAATTGTTTTAACGCTTTACAATTATGGCCTGTAAAAGTATAGCAATATTGAATTGATGAATCGAGCAGATGTTAATTTGATATTAAAGGCTATTTTCAATAGGAGCTTAGATCTAGTAAATTGCGAGAGCCTGTTAGATCTTTGTCGATTAATAAATTGTGAGAGCCTGTTAATCATGTTATTTATGCAATGTCAATGATTGATTATTATGTTTTACCCTGGAGTATTATTTATTGGTGAACCTGTGCCCTAGATTCCTTTATATATTGTTTTCTCCCTATTCTCAATCTTCGTAGTTTAGTTTATTATTCAAATATAAATATTGGTTACTTCATAATCTAGATTGTATTAGTTAATTAGGAATAGAAAGACTTGTTTCCCTGTGGAGTTCGACCCTACTTCCCTATCTACTTTAGTTAGAGGACTTAGGTAATTATTTTTGATTAGGGGATACGACTTTACCCTGTCAGTTACGATTCTTTAAATAATAGCTAAAAGCTAGATGGGAAACTAATGTTAATGATGAACGTGTTTGTATGAGTTCGTTCCCCCAAATTATCACAACTTTGATGGAACTTGATTTATCTTAATAAAATCTCGCCTACTTTGCCTCGAAAAAAAAATAATAAAACTGCTAATATCATTTAATGATTCTTTATTAAATAAGACCGCTAACATCATTAACGATTTAGCGGTTTTATTTTGAAAAATCATTAGTTCAAAACCCGTGCTATGCACGGTTTTACAATAATATTTTACTATTTGTTCATTAGAAACTGCATGAAACGAATCATTAGAAGTACAAAAAAAAAGGTACAATAAACACTGTGATATACTAGATTAATCTCAATGTCTACATTACATTACAATTTACAATTAATGTGGGATGGAAGAATAAATAAGATTTTAGTATTGGCAGGGCGTGTTCGGCGTTAGCTTTTGAGTAGCTTTTAAAACCATTACTTAACAAAAAATGTGAGTGTTTGGCAAAGTTGTGGTTAGGGTAGCTTTTAGTGGTGGAAATAACTTTTGTGAAAAGTTAAAAAGATTAGTTTTTGAAATTAGAGGTAGCTTTTCAGGTAGCTGTTGAAAATTTAATCTATAATTTTAAAAATAAAATATTGATTTTTATATTTAATAGCTAGTCAACCACTACTTTACCGAACACTCATATCTAAATTATTTATCTTCACAGCTAACAGCTTGTTGACAGCTAACAATTACCTCCATATCTACAGCTACCTTCACAACTATATTTTGACGAACACGCCCGTAATATAAAAGCTACTCTTTTCTTAATAAAAAAAAAGGACTCAATGTTATTCTGATTGATAACTGGAAAAAAAAAACATTTTGATGATATCCTAAATAAGTAAATAGTATTTTAATACGTAACATTTTATTCAATATGACTATATTTTTTAATTTTATTTAAATTATTATTGTTGGATGTCACTCTCTAAATATAAGGCAAAGTAACAAAATTTTTGGCGGGAATTTTTTTTATGTGGTGATGACATGTGTACTTAGGAGATATCTACGGGAGTACTTTAGTATATAAAAAATAAAGTAAAGAAGTATAGATACTCCGGTATTAGAAAAACCTCCCAGTCTCCCACCAATCCTGGACGGTTGAGTACTTGAGTGTTGTTCGGACTGTTCGGAGTGGACAGGGCGCCAACTTTTATTTTGAAATTACCAACCTTATCAATTCATACTCTCTTGCTCCTTTCACAACTATAAACCCATTTTCTTTCTTTCTGATAATTCTCTTCTCAATTGCTCAATTCCCTTGTTGAATTTCTTCTTCAACACCAAAACCCTAGAAAAATGGTCGACAATTCGCCACAAATCGATATCAATCAGCTATTATCTTACTGTGACGACCTCGTTGGTGTTCTCCGAGATAAGAGAGACTTCAATTTGTTAACCCAGTGCGTTCAACAATCCAAATCTATTCAATCGTCTTCTGATTCTGATTTCAACACTACCCAGATCGCCATTTCAGGTTTTCCCCCTTTTTTTTGGTTAAATTCTCAACTTTGTTTTTTTTATTTTTTATGTACAATTGTATATGGGGTTGCATTTTGTTATTTTAAAGAATTGATTTTGAAAACCAAAGATGGATTTTGGGGTGCACTAATTATGCTTGAATTAGTGGGTTGTTTAAGTTGGGGTTGTTTGAACTGATGGGGTTAGGGAAGTTACTATATGTATATTGTAATTTGGTTGGAAAATTATATGAGATGATTGCTTGAGTATGGTGTTTATGGAAAGTTGTATAAACTACCAACTCAATGTAAATTGTTACACTTTGTACTGCTAAACTTGTGGGCGAGGCCAACTAATAACATAGTGGTCGTTTGGTTGCACATAAGAATAATGAGTTACGCTTTGTGGGAATTTTGATTCTCGTAACGAAAAATAATTTGGTTGACTGTAAGAAGTTGAATTTACTGTGAAAGGACTAGGTAATCGAATTCTCTCATTCTTGTAGGCAATAGAAAATCCTAGAATGAAACTTTTTATTTTTGTCAACCAAATGGCTCTCTAGAGAGTGGTATCTCCGGTGTAATTTGATCTTAACCAAACAGCATTACAGCTTTAGGGAATGTATAGGATGGACAGGAATTCGATGAGTGGTAATTATCACATAAAGCATTGTATGCAGTATTACATAAAACCAATTACATCAATATAGATTATGGTGTGAGCGAATTCTAAATTTTAAGGCCCAACGTCATTTCCCTCTCATTTGTGAGCAGCATTTTGCATTTCTGTCCCTATTTTGATTGTGACTAGCAAAAGACAATCGATTTTTTACTACATTGACTAATCACTGCTCGCAATACAACTGGACAAATGAGCTCGGAATTGTAACTTGCGAATTTCCTTAAGTTCGAGGGAGGTAATTTCTCTGGAATTTCAAGTAAAGAATTAGGGATAGCAGGTTTCAATATGAAAAGGATGTTCATGGTTGTACTGATCACTTGAATGGTGTCCAAAAAGGATGTAGAAGACAAGACACCATATTCAATCTTGTCCTATTAATCTTCCATCCAAGAAGGATGTAGGGTACCACACTAGCATTATTTGCCCGATTTTAGATATTATACAGTCCAGCCTTTTTTTGGTAACCATTTATTTGATTATTAGGCATGCTCTTTAAAAATATATGCTTCTTTTTTAAGTCATGTTAGAGGTGAATTTCTCATTGTCTAATGTTGGTGCCTTTCAATTTCCCTAATTGAGAAATTTTTCGGTGCTCTATCTACTTTTAGGGGGTGTTTGGTTCGGTTAATGGAAATGGAGTGGAAAGGGAACAAATAAGAGGGGGGAAAGGAATCAAATAATATTGCCTTTTCATTTGTTTGGTTTAAACCATGGAAAGGAGAAAAATAGGAATTTTGTGATTGGAGGAGGGTAAGGGTATTTGTTACCCTAATTTTTTTAGAGGTAACAAATGAAGGATAACCATTACCCTTAGGTAATGGTAATTGTTACCATGTCTTCTAACCAAACACTCGGTAACAATATCGGTTTAATCGAATCCGTTTCCACTCCAAAAAATACACTAACCAAACCCCCCCTTAAGTGTACAAAGAAAGAAGTTTCCTTTAAGTATGGATATATGTGTGTATTACAGCGGGAAGTGTCATGTATTAGTGCATACTGCCACCTTGATGAAGTTGCTACTAAGTTACTTACTCTAATCACGTTCACATTTTAAATAGATTATCAGGACAAGATCGATGATTGCAAGCACAAGATAGAAGTGGCACGATCTGAAGTGGTTTCCAATGAAGAATTAGAGCGCCTGCAGAAAGAGCTTGATGAGGAACTCAAAAGAGAGAAGCTGCTTCGAGAGGATCTTAGATAAGTATTCTGTTTTGTCAGATATATGTGATGGTCATATGTTGGTTCTCTGTTCTTCAAACTGAGTTATTTGTTGTATGAACACAGTAATTGTTGACAAGATTAATGAGCTAGATCATCAACGACTTTTGTTAGAGGAGAAGAGTCAGAAGCTAAAGAAACTTGAAGAAGAACATGAGAAAGAACAGTAAGTATTATTGTTTTGTGACATAAGTGCAACACTGGTCACCCCAATAATTCTCCCTTTCCCAAATAAATTCATTAAATAAAATGCAAGAGAATTTCTGATGTGTCACCAACTCACCACCATGTACCATGATTAAAGATTAAAACATGTAACATGCAATTATGTGATGGCTTAGTATGACATTTTTGGAATATTTGTTTTATTAATTGTATGCTAGTGTGCTTAACAAAGTTCTAGTTTGATTTTTATTGTAATGTATTCCCTTTTTGGAATCTTGTTTATTTGAGAAAGAGAGAATTGGGGTGTTACTACAAGTTTGCAACTGCTCTAAAAAATAACTCCATATGAGTAATTACAACATGCTTTGAAAATGAACATTGTGTATTTGCTATGCTTGCATTTCATTTTCAAACTTTGTGGCAAAGGTTATTGAAGTCACATCTGACTGCTCACTACATTCACTATGGTCTACTGATGCATTTTGTTGAAAGTGAGGTTTAAACATTACACGAGAAGACACCTTTTTTCAATTGATTTTTGAAACCCTAAAGATCAACATATAGGTCATTAGAATTTTCATCATAGATAGTTTGTGTTTTATAGTTTTATTTGATCACTTTTGTCCATGCATGCTCTTTACTGCATAGTCGAGTCTTTGTGTGATTTTCTTCTTTATCTAACTATTGAAAGTTTGAAGCTAGCAGAGAGGCTCTAGGTAATATAGGCTAAAAGTTACTGGGTCTTTCATGAGTGAAACTGTGAAAGAGATATTAGTTCATTTATCCTTTTAATTTTATAGGATTTGAGTGATCAGCTGTCTTTCATAGTTCTGATAAGTTGCTTGTTTTAAAGTTATTTTATTGGATATTTTTGTACATAGGGAGGTACAAAACTACAAACCCATCAAGTAGTTAGTTTTCATGGTTTTAGAAATAGACTTTGCTGGTTTTCTGTGGAGCTATTTTGAGTTTGGAGACTCAATTTCTAATACTGGGTAAGTGCTTCGCTTGGCTTTCTTGCATATGGTATTAATTAAAACAAAAGTTGGAACAGTAGTAGTCATACTGCTTCCAAGGAAGAGCAAATTAAAATGCGGATTACAACGTATGAACGCTTGTTCGAGAAGGTTTTGTTAATTGTACATATTCTTGTTTAACATGCTATAATTTTTTTGGCTGTTGAATGAATAATTTGCTTTATACGTCTTGATTGCAACTAGCTTACTCTGTTCCTAACATAATAATCATATGATATTGCAGGAGGAAACTTTCATTTTATGCATCTGTCACAAAGATTATTCCAGATCTAGCGAGTCCATCGAAAATCTCTGGGCGTATCCTTTTTTCCCCTTTTAATAACAAAATACATCTTGAATATTTTTATTGCATACTTTCTGCATATTCCTCTCCTGGTGTTTTCTGTACTCAACACAGTTTTCTGCCTCTGTGTGTGTGTGTGCGCGCGCGGGCGCATGCTATCATGTATCTTATATTTTAGCAAATTTGTTACACCTTGATCTGGTTCCAGATATCGTAGATCGTGAAAAAAAGACAGTGGAGAAGTTTGAATTTGATCCACTGCAGGAAGATGCCTTTGACATATGCAACAAGACATGGAAGATGATAAACCTATGACTATTCATGTGACTGTGTGTTATATCACCTATATGTACGATTGTACCATTTTGCGTTTTCAAAATTTGTTTTTCTTGTAGTGGGACAGTGGGACTAGCTTCTCTGTATATTGTTCTTGTAGTGGGACTGGCTTTACTAGTATGGATCTTATGCTGTATTTAATATATGCCTTAAAAAGGAGATTATTGATTAAGAGTTTCTTTTCAGGCTGCGATTTCATCATTAGCAATTTGATGTCGTTGACATGGAGGTTTGTTATCAAGGATTCAAGATTGGATGTAAACTGCTATTCTGTTAATTTTCTGTTCTTAGCCATTCTATGAGATTTGTGCATATATAATTAAGCCAATTAATAGAACTTTTGATTAAAAATTTGCAATAGAATTCGCAATCGTGCGCCTTTTCTGCACTCATACATTAGTTGATACTTCAAATCAGCAAGCTAACATATGGGATGTGTCACAAGCTAAGCTCACTACTAGGCCAGGCCTTAGTGCCTTTTGCCTTGAAACTTAGTGCTTCATTTTGGCTTATCAGTTGAACACTTCTCTATTCTGCTGAAGAATTTCAGTTGGCATAAATGAGGTCAAGTTCTGCAGGCCTCCTACATAGCTCACCTGTTGAGATGTATCCATTGCCTTGTCACCAAACGAGCTGATCATGAACTCTGCCGTACTACAAGCTGCAGGAATTGACGTGCCTCTGTATGCTTTGCAGATGTACGCCATGAAATTTTGGTAGTCCTGCAACCACCCACATTAGATTACACATACTTGAGAGCGAGAAAGAGCATGCTAGAAAGAGAGGGAGAGAGTTACACCTCCCGGAGTGGCTGATTGTTGACAAGCACCCATGGCACGTACTCGTGAGGTGGGTTTAGCTGACTAGTTTCATATGCATACTGTACTTCAAGCTGCAGAATCATTCAACATGCTAAATATTAGATTTTTGACAGTTAATACCAATAAAATAGGAAGAACTGTCGAGCTGAGTAACTGACCGCTCGACCATTTCCTTGATTGTAGCAGTCGAAGATGGGCTTGGAATCAAGTGATACTTTATTGAAGCAACTTTGCCACTCCGCTTCTCTTTGCTGATAAGCTAGACTTTCTATGCATTGGATCAAGAAGTAGTGCTTGTTCTGCCACAGATGCAAATTTAATCATGTCATTATCTTGCTAATAAATTTTTCTTCCTACTCTTGACAGTTTATTTAATGAATTCTGCCTCCATCCTTTATATCATTGCAGTTCTAGTTTTGCACAATCTTGGAACCTTACTTCCACTTGATCTCTGACCTTAACTCTACGGAAACAATGACAACCAATATCTTGGCTCATGCAGTCTATGGAAAAACAAACACATGCCTTTTATGTCAGTGATTTCAACACTTGGACGGTGCAAATAGTGTGCGAGTGAGAATGCACTTCCCCGTTTAAACTTAATAGTTACATAGACTATTTTGAGACGTCTTGAAATACTTGCCATAGATTTACAGAATTGAAATTACAAACCTTTTTTATTTAATTTTTTTTTTTTTTATTAATTATTTATAAGAGTAACAGAGGTCTTACAACATCAGGATAAGCATCAATGGTACAAGCTTCAACAGCATTCAGCAAACACTCTCCTGATCCATGCTGCAAAAAAGAAAAAAAAAAAATTATGCACAAATCCATAATAATGAATGTATGTCTTTTTTTACTATGATCTATTGATTCTATACACGCATATGCCTAAATGAGGCTCGTTGAGTAGTTCCCCTACCTAGGCCCTCACAAGGATCGGAAGGTATCATAACATGAATTTTCGATACGTAATACAACATAAACATCAAAACATACTCGTACCTGACATTGGAAATAGCCAGAAGGCTCAACAGCAGCATTACCCCAAGGAACCAACCTAAGATTGACTATGGAAATGAGGCCATTAGAGAAGAGTTTTACCAAATCATGGGCAATAAAGTACGAACAATACGGGCAAAGTGTCTCGTAATACAAAGTTAAATCAACCTTCTGATCATTAACTTCAGAAAATTGAGCATAACATGAACAAGAGTTATACTGAAAGAAAAATACGTGAAGAAGAAGAAATAAAAGAAATGTTTGATGATGATACACATGAAAAGCCATTGAATAACTCTTATTGAGTGTAAATGAAGCTAGCTAGTTTTAAGGGTAGCTTTGAGTATGACATTAATAAAACAGGGTTTTTAGGGAAGTAAAGAAGTAAAGAAGTAAAGAGCATAGATATGATATGAATAAAAGAACAAAGTGTAACAAAAGAAGAAAGGGTGCTTTAAATAGACATGATGTATGTATTGATGTATAGTTCTGCAGATATCAGATTACTTACTAATGTTACTATCTTTATTTCATTTCAAGTTTTTTTTTTATTTAAAGGCATTTGTAAAGGAGACTTCATTCATCAGTTTTGCAGTTTGACTGTAGTATGAAAGTAGGGGTAGATGTAAATATTTATCCATACAAGATGTGTAAACTAGTCTGAATTTTTGGTTTCTGGAGTTGGTGTCACACATTGAAGTGTCATTAATTGATAACGTTTGAATGTCGTAGTCGGTCTTGACTCCTACGCATATTGTACTCCGTAATGAAATACGAGTATAATTTTGGTCTAAAATGAAGTGTGTATCAAGTATTCGTTGGATATAGTCCACATCCACATCTTTTAGAGGGTTACGAGTTAAATTACTTCGTGTAGTATTACTTACAACTTGAGGAGAAAATTAGTTGTGCTCTAGGCTATATAATTTTCAAAATTATCATCAATTTAACACTAATTTAGTTAGTGTAAAAAAAATTGTCAAGTAATATTGGGAAATAAACTATCAAAATATATTAGTTTTCTTCTTTATATCAAGTACATTTTTATTAAAATGAAACATGGATTATCAAAATAGAGTCAATTAGCTAAATATTTGCTACATATTTTAAATGTGCGTATTTGATCACAAAGAGAGTAATTTTTCCTCTTTTGAATAGACATAGAGAGTATTTTATATATAAATTTCAAGGACAAATAGGTATTGTCTTTCATCCAACTATCCAAGTAAAAGTATTGTGCAGAACGGAATCACGTGAGTCCGGTCATACAAACAGAAATAAGTAATTTTTTTTTATATTTTTATTTTCTTAGGGAAAAAAAATCTTACTTGTCATAAATTAATTGATAATAGTCAGATATTAGATCATAAATATCAAATATTAGATTATAAGTGTCAAAATTAGATAATAATGGTCATATATTAAATTATACTTATTAGGTATTAGATTATACTTGTCAAATCTTAGGTCTTAACTATCAGAAATTAGATTATCATGGTCAGATATTCGATTATAAATATCAGATATTATATTGGAAATATTGCTCCCATTAATCCGAACTTTGCCTCGTCCGCCGAAATTAATCCCAACTTTCGTTTATTATCTATTGCACCCAACTTTAGGGGGTATTAATTTCTATTGCACCCAACAGGTCATCCAACCTGATGTAGCATGTTACCTAGACACGTGTCAACACGTGATAGGTCAAAAAAAAAATTTAAAAAAATAAAATAAAATAAAAACCTGCCAAACCCAACCCCCACCCCTATCCCGGAAAACACTACATCACCACCCCCAACCCCGCCGGAAAGTTGCGCCCACCCCCGAAAACCCTTCCCCCACCGCCGGAAACCGCCGCCCAGCCACCCCTTCCCTTTCCCCACCCCCGAAAACCCCTCCCCAGCAGCTTCCGTTTCCGGCAGGAGGGTGGTCGTTTCCGCCCCCTCCGATTCGTCCCCTTCTTCAGATCACCCCCTTCCTCCCTCTGATTCGCCCTCTTTCCTCCCTTCCTTCCTCCGATTCCGCCCTCTTCCCCTTCGTTTCCATCCACCCCCTTCCTCTTCCATTTTCGACCTCGATTGGCTTCTTCTCCGCTTCGTCGGCCATTCTGGAGCTTTACCCTCCGATTTTCGCCCTTCCCCTCTGATTTCCGGCTGCTGCTTTGGTGGCCGGTGCTCGGGGGCAAACGGGGGTGGCCGGTGCTCCAGGGGAAACGGGGTGGTTTTGTTTTTTTTTTTTAACTAATTTTTAAGTTTTGATTTTTACTTTTGAACCAATCTGGTTGCGACACGTGTGCAATTAATCACAAGCCAGCAAAATTTACCTCTTTAACCGGTTTCAAGTCATTTGGGTGCAATAGAAATTAATACCCCCTAAAGTTGGGTGCAATAGATAATAAACGAAAGTTGGGATTAATTTCGGAGGACGAGGCAAAGTTCAGATTAATGGGAGCAATTTTTCCTATTATATTATAATTGTCAGATAATAGGTTATATATATCAAATATTAAACAATGGCGTCTCTGCCTCACCTTGGCATCATTTCCATGGTTATTTTTGAAGGAGTTCTGTCTTCGATAAGTGCAATTACTAGATATATCAAGGATCACTATTATGGAGATAGTAAGTTCGTTCTTTTGGGTCGTCATTATCTGTTGCTAGACTATGATCATTGACCTTTGGGCTAGTTAAATAGTCCAAAGCCCACTAGAATGGATCCTATGAGGTCACACAACAAAGGTATTGGGTTAAGCAAGTTAGAGGCCCATTTATGGGCCTCATGAACAAGTAACCAATCATGAATTGGATTGGGCTAGTATAGTTAGATTAGAGTTAGGATTTGGGCTTTGTCATGGACTCTTATTTAGAGATGAGATCTATAAATAAAGTCCATGCCTAGGGTTGTATGACACAACACAATTAACAGTTAATTGTGCACCAAGCAACCAGTAATCCAAACCTCTCTCTCTCTCTCTCTGTACCACACGCCCATCTCCTCCCTTCGCGGTGGTTCGTGATTTGTTCGTTGCTCGTTCTACTCCATAGAAGGTCAATTGAAGGGTTCAATTGCAACTAACTAGCATTAGTGGAGGACTTAATCTGTGCCTGTGGACCAAGTAGAGGAATCACGCTTGAGGTTCTTTGTCTCCCTTGTTTTTGTTCGATCGCACGTGGAATCACGCTTCAAAGGTATTAATTCTAATTATTTATGTGTTATGCATGATCTTGGGATTAGGTGCTATATGAATATGATTCATGTTTTCCGCATTCGTACCTATAAACTCCTACAGTGGTATCAGTTAGCCTATGCATGTACATATATTGAATATTAATTCTTTGATAGTCCACAATTTTAATTCAATTAGGAGGGAGAATAATTTAATTATGGTTCAATCTTTATATTAAATGAGATTTAATTTTTGGAATTGTTTAAATATGATTTAAATTGCTCAATTATTCTAGTAAAATCTGACTTAAGCCCTAGAATTTTCGAAAAATATGATTAAAATAGAGCCCTAAATTTTGATTTTGTGCTTAATTTTGATAATTTTCGAACCCTAGATTTGAAATTGAATTGTGAATTTGATTTCAAAATTGAATTAGGCATAAATGTTATGTTTTATTTTAAAAGACCTAATTTAATTTAATTTTACAAGAGTTGTTAAATTAAATTAAAACTCTAAAAAAAAAGGGAAAATAATTGATTTTTGGGAGGGGCAGCCGTGGCTGGGTGGTCGGATCACCGTCTAGTGGACCATGGAGGCTACCCAGGTGGTCGAAAGGGGAAGTCAGGGCGGTGCCTGGCTGACAGGTGGCAGCAGCAAAGTGCAACTGTTGCACGGCTGCCTGCTGCGGCCTATGTCGATCGTGGCTGGGCACCAGCCTGGTTGCGACGGCATCCCTCAGCCGCAAAGGGCGTATTCGGGAGGTCGTCTTGGCAGAGGGAATCGATTTTGGTAAGGTGGTTTCCTCGGACTGCCGATCTCAGGCGTTTTTTTTTTCGGACAGGTTGCTGGCCGTGGCTGGGTTATTCCCAGTTGTGGTTGCGTGATCCCTGTTGCTGCGTTGGTTGGGGTTCTCCCCTGACTGACGTGGCAGCAAAATTAAAAATAAATAAATAGTTTTATTAAAATTATTTTATTTTAAAATATTTTCAAAATAAAATCTGATTTTATTTTGAGGATAATATCAAATTTCAAAAGTTGATTTTGATAATTATCCTTAATTAAAGTTTTTAATTTTGGATAAAGTTTGTTAAGATAATTTCAAATCTTAAAATTTGTTTTAATCTTTGAAAATTTTAAGGATTGTTGAGCTAGATTCCAAAAAGATAAAGATTGATTTAAATAATATGATTATCCCATAATTATTTTGGATAATAATTGAATTAAAATTATGTGATTGGCTAGCAATTAGGATAGAATCTCCTAAATTAGTTAGGATAACCATGGAAGATAAATATGATTTATCTTTCATAACTAAAATATGATTTGATTCTATCTCTTACCTTAAATAAAATTTTACATGTGATGGGCAATTATTCAACCAAGAATTACAAAGAGTTGTAATCAGTAAAGAGTTTACTCACCTTGAAAATGTAATGGTTGATGGTAGGGCTAAAGTCCGGTCAATTATTGCACAATTAAAGGATCTTGGAATCATTTTATTCAATAGGGATCAATTAAAATTGAATAAATGTTTTAAAGTTACCAACTATTAACATCGCTTATGGTACTTTAAATTTTTTAAACATAATTATTGAACTTTGCCTCGTTTTGTTTTTGTTTGTAGATGAATAACCATAACGACAACGCTATTTTGCCAACGAAACTTAATTTAAGGCTGAATCTCAGAAACTTCAGGGAATGGGAAAGCGAGTTGAGAAGAGTTCTCACAAGCCATGGGCTTGAATCTCGTTTAAATGTACCTGTTGAGAGCGATTATACTAAGGGTTATAAAGCTGAAAGGCATACTGAAATTGTTTCAGATGCAGAGAAAATCAGACAACTCATTTTAGAATCTATTCCAAGTTGTTGGAGAAGAAGATTCAGGCACTATGAGGTAACCAACTTTTATCAATTTCTTCGTGCTATTTGTTGAGGTGGCATTGGGGCATTAGGAAGTGGAGGCTTCAGAGATTATAATGTAAGAAAGATTGTTAATTCGATCCCTCAGATTTACTATTCCTGGACTGACAACATTAGGTATGAGGCTTACAATGTTCATTGTAAGATTATGGCTAAGAAACTCATGCCTGGTTAGTCAGTAAGGACTCATGTCCTTGAAATGATTGATTTGTTCAATCAAATGGACGTCCTTGGGAAACCGTTCGATGATGACTCCGAGCATGATATTATCTTGTTCTCACTCCACGATGGTTTTGATATAGTTAGGCTCACTCATAATGATGAGGGCTCGACTGTGACATTAGTCAACCTTTTACTCAACCATGCTGAGGAGTACCTGAAGAGGAGACAAAGCGAATGCTTCTATTGTGGTGATTGGCTTCGCCATACACCAGGGTATCCCCATTATACACCAGTGAAAACAGAAGGTAAAGAGTTACTTGATGTTTTTGTTGTAGAAATTAATCTTACTTCATCTTCCACTTGGGTATTTGATACCGGTTGTGGTGCTCACATCGTTAATAACGTGCAGGGCTTGAGAGAAAGTAAGAAGTTAGCAAAAGGGGAAGTAACGCTTCGAGTAGGAAATGGAGCAAAAGTTGCTGCACTTGCTATTGGAAGTTATCACTTGAGACTTCCCTCTGGGCTTATTTTGGTGCTTAATAACTGTTATTATGTACCAACAATA